AGTCTGCAAAAATATTATAGAGTGTAAGTGCATTCAGCTTTGCCTGGACTAGATACCATAACTATACGTGTACATCTTTATGTTGTCGTCTATGACTTCCCTTTCCAAACTTTGTGGTTATGCGAGACATTTTTGGCTCAACTAAAGCTTCAAGTTCATGTTGTTATCTTTTTCTTTAGCATGCAGAACTATTTCCTTTCATCCCGTACTCTGGAAAGGTATTACTACAAAATTTACGAAATCTACATGCTGTCTGAAAGCTGCGATGTATGCTACCGTAGTCGCGAATAGTGCTTGTGGCTCGGGCTAAACGCAGGATGGATCAAATTACCATCTATTAACGTTTCGCGCGACGTATTCTATCCCGAGGCGATACACGCGCTTCTTGGCCTTGCCCGAGCATACGGAATAGGCACAGAATGCTAAATGAATTACGCTTGAAAGCATCGAAGCCTATGTCGAGGTGTTGAGATGATTTTGAATAACCGCTGATCTTTTGGATGGTGTAAAGCGAGCAGGGGGGGGGGGGAGAAGAAGTTTATGAAGCGAAAGTTAGGAGTTAGCAACAGCAACTTGTTTCATAATGACAAAAAAGAAAAGTCAAATACTAAATTTATAAATGTTAAAGTTGAATACATTCACCAAATATTAGATCAAGTTAATTTGAATAAAATTATTAATAGCACTTATATAAAGAACATTTTAGAAAACCCTAATGTAAAATACAGGGTGGGGCAAAAGTCTGGGAGCCTATTTTGTAGTGCTGTAAATCAAGAAACTACTGATGATTTTGACTCCAAATTTGTGTCACATATTGCTGCGATCATCTTCTACAAATCGCACTTTGGCTGGCTGAAAAGGCTTACCATATGTTTTTGTAGGAGTTGGCTTTATCAAAAAAGTGCTCTGCAATGCTAGAAAATCGAAATTTTTGGTCTTCACAACTTACTTTGTAGCTAAAGATACAGTGTATATTCTAAAGAGCTTTGATGCATACAATGTAGAGGAGACCTTGCGTTATCGATTCGTTGTCATTGCGTTTGCCAGATACTATTCTTTCGAAAACGTAAAATAAAAATTTGCGAATACTACCTGCGTGCCAGTGGCCATTTTTCTTTAAAATAAATTTGAAAGCTATAGGAGCACAGCAAGCACTGAATTTTAGGCTACACTCTTTTCTTGGATCTTCTATGCAAGCATGTACTTGAGTTCGATCGATCAAGCAGTTTCAACACTTTTCAGATTACGATTTTTCGCTCCCGTTCGCGCAATCGCATCCAGATTTCCAGTATACCTTGTACACTTGCCTCCAATTAAAATTCCAAAATTTTTTTCCTGACATTGCAAAAAAAATTTCTTCGCAATATATTGTAGCTAAAAGCTTGCTCTATCACACCGCACATTTGTACGGAGAAAGAAACAGTTACCGTAAAGGCGTGGGACGAATTTCATTATGACTGTCTGCGTGCCAGAACAGGCAGACTCGCCAAGATTTCGAAGGGCTGCTTTGAAGCCAGATGAGACAATCTCAAAATTTAAAAGCAGCGCTGTACTTGTAAAGGTTCGATTTATGTGTGCACCAAATTTTTTGTTCCTAGGCACTTTCTTTCTGATTTTATCTGAAAAAGTACTAGGCTCCCAGACTTTTGCCCCACCCTGTACAATCCCTGCAGACTGGTATACATGTATAAAGAGCCAATATCACAAAAAATTTTTAACTACAATTCTATCCTTAATAAACTTGACGAAGATAAATTAAAACAAATTCTATCAGAAAAATGCAATTGCAAAGAACCTGATAAAGAAAAATTTATTGACAGCAACCACGGACATATAATTACTGGAAATTTGGATATAATCAAAGACAAGCGTTTGAAATCAATAATGAGTAAAGGCACTAAATATAGACTACAACAAAGCACCAATAAAAAAGAAGTACTTGAATGGATACAGGCAACTGTAGAAATGATTATGAACACATATATCAAAAAATACAAAATAAGCAATGAGAAACTCATTAACATAAAAGAATACCTTTCAAAAAAATTTCTACATAAATTAAAACCACTTCTTTACAAATCAAGATTAAAAAACAAACATAGTTATGATTTCAATTCCAAATACTTCAAAGAACTAAGAAATAATTTCGTGATATGTCCATTAGATAAAGCCAACAATAATTTTGGTCTGATATGTATCAAATTTTATATACAAAAATTGATGAATGAACTAGGCATTAATTTACTAGGACCAAATTTACAATTTTCACAAAATTCAACGTATGACATATACACAATGGAAAATAATACAGAAATTATCGAAAGACACAAAATTTTTTGCAATATCAATAAATTACATTTAGAAAAAGTTAACAACATTCCTCTCATATATGCAGTTCCAAAATTACACAAAACACCTACCAAATTTAGATTCATAACTGGTGCTACACATAGCAGTATAAAACCACTAGCTATCGAATTGAAAATGATTTTCACATTCATTAAAAGTCATTTCAAAAAATACTTGCAAGCTATAAAAAATAGAAATCACAATTTTAACGGATACTGGGCTATAGATAACATTAATATCAGCGAAAATCTAACAAATATCAGCATGAAAAATATGAAGATTTTCTCTGCTGATTTTACAAATATGTTTACAAGCCTACCCCACGATATTATAAAATCCAATATAAAAGAACTTTTACAACTATGTTTCAACAATGCAAATGAAAAATACATTATAATCAATGGAAACATTAACATTTATTATAGCAGCGATACAACACAGCTGAGTACAAAATCCAGATCTTATACTTTAGTAGATTTACTATATTTAGTAGACTATATTCTAGATAATAGTTTCTGTCGCTTCAGCATTTATACATTAAAACAAAAAGTTGGAGTTCCTCAAGGTGGTTACTTCAGCCCACTATTAGCAGATCTTACACTTTCTTGGTACGAATATAGGTATTCTATAAAAAATATCACAAACAATTTCCAAATTATACCTTATAGATATATGGATGACCTTTTACTTATTCATAACATAGAAGAAAATACTATCCACAAGTTAGTCAAAAAAATTTACGAGCATAAACTTCAAATAGAAGCTACACACTTGAGTACTCATACCTGTAACTATCTCGACCTAAACATTGAAATAATAAACAATAAATTGATTACAAAATTATATAATAAAACTGACTATTTTAATTTTAACGTTAAAAGATTCATACATTCTACATCTAGTATCTCGTTCAACATTAAAAAGGCAACCATATATACAGAAACTCTCAGAATAGCAAGAACATGTACATACTTAAACGATTTTCTGCAAAAAATCTCACAACTCAGAGATATACTACTTAAAAATGAATATGACATAAATATAATATCATCATCAATTTTCAAATGTTTAAATAGAAATCCATTCATACTATATAAATACAATATATTCAGTGATGAATTTAAAAAACCGAGTCAAAATAATATATTATAAAACATAAACATAAATTGTATCAACCGATATATATGAAACGAAGTTTGAATGATATATTCAACACAAATGATAATACAATGAAAATAAACAAGTCAAGACAAGTCCATTCTTACTTTGCAACACAGAAGATCACACGACAGAAAAGAAGAATTGGACGACAATCGGAGTATAAGTTGAGTTTTACAATTTTTTCAAAATAATTTCTTTGGAAAATAAAACTAGACCCTCTCTCCTTACTGAAGAGTCCCGGAGAGGGTCTAGATCTCAAAACTCCGTCTAAGGAAAGGGACGAAACGGAGAAACAAATTAAAAAACTATCTTTCTTATTATTGATATACTATGGCTATGGGGCAAATCTCAAATAGTTTTTTTTAATGTGAGACAAGTTCCACTAACAATGACTTGTACTGTGAGAAAAAATCTTTTGCGAGAGAATCTGCTGCCCAACAATAGACAGGTATCAGTATTTCAACTGTGGAAGCAACTCATCGTCATTGATCTGAGCTGCTCAAGCAACAAATTTCGTCAAACTTGTGTAAAATGCACTAAATATATTGTCACCTTTATCTTCCAGGATTTAGTACAATGGCTACTATTCCACTACCACTATTACTAACAAAAAAAGAACAATTATGTAAAAAATTCATTACTTTTCTTCGTATAGTATTGTCTTTGGGAGACGGTCAAGAGGCGCAATTTTTCCGGCTGTCACTAACCCAACCTTCAGTTTAGTGCTATGCGAGTGCTCAAAAAGTACCGGATGAAGTGCATTAGCTTATTCTTCGTCTGAGGTTACCGTTTGCCGAATTTGTGGCTTTTACTGGAAAACCGAACGAAATATTTACGAGTTTGTTCATAGCTGATTTTTAAGGGATTTTGACCTTCAAAAGTGATGTTTTGGGTTGATTTTAAGGTATCAAGATTGAACAGCCCATGCGGCTATCTAATATATCTCCTTCAAAATTTCAATACTTTTGGAATGTTATAAAACACTTATTATACGTTATTCGGTGTCCATCTAACAATAAAAATCGCTCCTCTTGACATACACCCACTCTCTTTGAGAGTACTACCAGTATCTGGAACGCGAAAATGGGGAGAGACGTCAAAATTCTCAGCGGTCTCTTGTATCTGATATCCTGATGGTTTCAGGATTTTAATCCAAACTCACAAATTAGTTATCACAAATTAGTTCTTTTTACAACTATAGTGTTATTAGGACAATGCAGAGATGTATTATAAAGCACGAGTACGATTGCAAATATCCGAAAGTCTTGACGAGCCCAGACGTTTACTTCAGGTAGCAATTATGAGGCCGAATGTGAATGACGGAATTTATCGTGAACGTCATTATGGGGAATGTGGGAAGAAGCTATGGCCCTAGAAGGTAGCTCAGTGAGTGAAGTAACATTTTCTGTCTGTACATGAAATGTCAAAATTTATTGAAGGACTATAAATAAATGAACTGGAATTACTAATTAGTGTAAGAAGCTCATTTGGTGCTGAGTGAGTCATCAGTGCATTAAATCATCAAATCAAAACTATGAACACGCGCAAAATCTCAGAGTTTTGAAAGGTGAGTGAGACCTCCTTGAAATTTTTCTCCCAGGAGATGGGCAATCAGATGAAGACGATCAGATCCAAAGAATGCGTGCTCTTCATCGCCTTTGTGAACAACAATCCAAGGAGCACCAAAGGCCTGAGTTGAAGAAATTCAGGAAATCAAGCACATGTGAGTTAAAGAAATTGAAGAAATTCAGGAAATCAAGCACATGTGAGTTAATGCAGATTAACGATTTTGATTCACAAATTCAGATTTGATCTCCTGAAACTTACTTACCCCACTATCGATGGCGTCTGAAGTATTTTTCTCAAGCTGCTTCTCTATTGATTCATCTTTGAGCTGATCTATGAATTTTCCAGGGTCAGTGATCCCACTAGCCGACAGAACCTAAAATTATACATCCAACTCCAAGCATTCTCGACATACGAAATTATGAGAGAAAGTAATGAAATCAAACAAAGTAAGCCTTACCTTTTCAAAATCTTCTTTGTCAAATATCGGCTCACCATTCGACCAAAATCGTTTCCAGAATTCGCGGGTGACGCATTCTAGCTTCTCTAAAAATTATATTTTGCGGTTATTGATTGTTGTGAATACAATATGAATGCGAACTCTGTTCTCCAAAAAAGTCTGAGAAATTTTATCTTTTTTATTGCAAGTTGAAAGAGAAAAAACGAAAAAATTCAAATGACACGAAGCAGAAGATTCAAGAAAAGAGAATTATTGAATATCATAAAAAGAGTCAACGTTCTGACACTGATCTATTTACATTTCTTGCAGAATCGATAAATGTGGAGCATCAACGGTTCTCTGTCTATTATCTATTCTTATTGTTCTCTATCAAATCGATACTTACGTTAATTTTTGCAAAGTTATTCAAAAATCAAATAGAAATTCTTTTTATAGTGAAGCTGATTTGGCTTTTCTCCATTGCATAATCATGCTTTAGAAGACAGGCCTTCGATTTTTTCATAATTCTCACCATTGAACACTAAACACATCTAAAAATAACTTTCACATTTCGGCAACATCGATAGTCCTATGTGTTACAGTTTATGATTCAAATAAACATAAGAGTTTGATACCGCTTTGAAAAAACTTTTTGCCAGTATATCACTATCGCGAGGCTCGCTTTATGTTTACATCTTGAGTGTTTTGTTCAAATCTCGAAATTAGAAATAGAAATTAGACTTTTGCTTTTTTATCAGGTTCTCTCATATTTTTGAATAGTAAGCAACTCAGTGTTAAATATGATCATACATCTGATTATGAGCTATATAACCAGTGTGGGGCTATATAACCAGTGTGTACTTAGTTAGGAATGAAGTTTGACTTACATCTCCATAATTTTTTCCCCATTTCTAGCCATGAAATTTCTCTGATTTGTCAAGTTTAGGGCCGGGCATAATTCGCGAGATTTCGGTCGCGACGCGACTTGGCGATTTGCCAGAAGTCTTCAGATCCAACACTGGCAAACTGCACATGCATAGTGTGTATTAACTATTAACTTACGTAGATTGATAAAATGTCCTATCTTCTGTACATTTAGATGTGCCTACAGTGAGTTATGGACGCTTGGAATATTGCCAAATCTCCTCACGACTGAAATCGCGTGAAGTATGCCCGGCCCTTTTATGCTTGGGTTAGTGGGTAGAGAATTTGGGACTTTCAAAAACGGAGATACAATGTTTGACGATTAATTTTGTTTCCAATTACTTTCAAATTTCAAAATTGTAGTACGATGTAGGTCATTTTCGAATGTAATCGAATAAATTTACAAAAAATTACAAGGCAGATATTTCTACCTGGTTGATCCTTCTGAACTATCAAGAGCAGTTTCATTGCGGTGTCGCTGGTCTTTGTCTTGATCAATTCCATAAAATTCTGCAATGAAAAGCGATCATTGATCTATTGTTCAATCAATAATTGTCATCATGAGAAGGCACTTAATTTAACGTTTAAGAACAATGTACTTGGGCTATTCCATTCTGTAAAATGACTTGTCCCATGTCGTACTGTAATCAATCAGAATTTTTAAAAATTTTTTCACTAACCTTAGGGGCTTTCAACTTCAACTTCCAGTATTCATTATTTCGTTGTATATCTTTTGCCATGTACATTGCCTTTGCTGGCACAACACCAGGAGGTCTGTTCCCTGGAAAGAAAATTCGACATTTTCCCAATACGTTAACTGTAAGTTCAAATATTTAGTTGTCGAGTTTATTAAAGAATCTTACCACTTTCTCGCATGATATTTCTCAGAGAAAACGGTTTGAGGTTTACTTTAATTGCCCAAACTTTTTCATAGCGGAGTAGAGACTGAATTAAAATATTTTATCACTTGAAAAATAGATAATCTCCAATGGCTTACTTACCTCGAAGGCGATCCACGCATATGGAGAAATGACATCGTAGTAGAGATCGATCTCCACTTTCTCTTTGGTACCAGACATTTTGGGCTGACCTGCAGAAGGAAGTAAGAAGGAAGTAAGTCTGACCGTGTCTTCGATTAATGATCGATAAGATAGGCCCCATCATAACTACACTGGAGCCTAATCGATCATTTTCATGTTTTTTATGTCCAGTCCAAAACTGCTGAACAAATTTTAATGCAGTTTAATTAGGCATAGGAGGGTGGCAAAAGAAAGACTTCAGCATTTGGGGAGAGAAAAGAGGTTTTAAATCTAGTTTTCAAATCCATCCGCTATTGAGATTACGTATCTGAATAGTCAAAACTTTTCAATGAATTGCCAACATCAGCTCATTTCGTTATTTTTCACCATGTGTGGACAAAATTCATAGCACTAAAGCAATAAAAATCCAAGTAACATTCCATGAACATTGCTTTCACTAATATCTTAGTTTTAAATTGCAATCTTTGATCGTCTTTGGTCAATCTTTGAATCATTTTAAAATTTTGCGATCTCTCCAATAGCAATGATTTTATTTTTTCAAATTTGACTGAAATTTGCAGCAATTCATTGCACAGACCATTGAAGCTCACGTTTTGAGGGGCTTTTCCTCAAAAATGTCTCTTAGAAAATTTAAAATTGAGAAGTTTGCTCTTTCTGAGATAATATATATTTGACCCCAGCATTTGAAAAATATGAGATTTTCAGCGGCCAACCAGTGTATTTTTACAGCAAAAGAAGCTGTCTTGAAATTTAGAAAATAAAAACCCTTTTTTTCATGCAAATTCAATATTTTTATTGTTTTCCAATTTTTCAGTCTAAGTTTCAACAATAATGATAAAAACGTTAAGGCGGACCTGAATATTATTTGCACATCACATGGTTACAATTGCCATCCTATACTTTTCCTTAACGATGAGGTATTTCTTTGAAGCCTGATAAATTTGTGAATCCGCGATTCTGAACAACGTTGGACTATGGTCATTAGCTCCAGTTTCGCCATTATGCTTTTTTTGGTTGTTCGTAACACCGAATGATTCATAAAATTGCGTAGAAATAGAACGGTTATGATGGAAACACTTTTGTTCGAAATTCTTTCATTTGAACGACAATCTGATAAATGAATGACGATTGTGTCTTAATGCAAAAATGATCAATTAGATGCCTCAAATGCAGTTTTTATACTTTTTTTTTGACAGGCTGTCTATTTTGGCAAAACAAATTTACATTAGTTCGTACTTTTGTTTTGTTCCTCATTGAAATTGCATGACAAAAATTCTTTGACACATTTATCACCGGGAGTGAAATGGCTGTCATCAAAGCAATGATAGTGATAACAAAACTCGTTACTAAAATCTGACCGCCACCGACTACCGGCTCGCTGTCGTTGTTCTCAGGCAATGGAAAGCAAAGGTCTGTCGATCCGGTAGTTTAATATCTGACGTCATTGTTCTGTGCGCGACCTAAAAACTTTTAGTCACCTTTTTGTCACTAATTCTTGAGATCTCTCTAATTTTCAAAGTAGTGAATAGTTTATTCTTTTGATCATCTTTGTTTTATAATTGAAATGATATAATTTTGAAAAAGCATAGAAAGACAGTTCTTTGGCGCTCAATATTTCTATTCTGCCACTGTCAGCAAAGAACTTGTACCTCTATGGTTTCTAGTTGCCTGAAAAAACTCCAAATATATCAAACATGAACCAACCAACTAAGTCAGGTTCCATCCAAACGAATTCTGTAATATAGCAGAAATCCTCTTCTTCAGGCGAGAAAACAAACAAAATCGAAAATTTCATTCAGCTGATTTTCTCGCATTCTTTATTTTTGGATTGTCTATCATGGCTTTCGAAGAAAGTACATAAATTATATAGAAAAGATATTCTTTTTTGTCTGGAAACTTCAACTTAATTTTGAAAAGCTCCCCAAACAGGAATCCCTAAAATCTTTGTCCATTTGTAGTAGTGATAATCCTCTTGCTTCATTGTTTCCTCTTGACCACATAGTACCATATCGAAAAGGTGGTTTTGACTGACATTTTGATTTGAAGCACGAATCTGTTACTCCTGATCTTTACTGTAGGAGTACGGTAGCGACCCTTGATCTTGCTCCATTGAGGGTCGAAAAGGAGCAGAACTCTTTTAGTGTTTGTTCAGAACCGCTGATTTTGACAACAGATTTTGAGCTTACTTCATTTCACGTATGAATGACACGATGGGTTAGTCATAAGGTTTTTTCGCATTTTCTTGGAAATTCGACCATGTAGTTTAGGTAGCTTTATATACCAAAAAAAGTTCATCCATCTGCGTGAAAAACTTGTAGTTTGATTTTGAGCTTTTGGAAATTTCCGAAGATTTTTCCATGTTTACGGATTCACCATGGCATTGGGATGCTGAAAGTCATACTGTAACCCTATACCTACACAAAAGCAGTTACAGTTAGTAAAGCCAGCTCAACAAATAGGTTTCACATAAATTGTGTTTATGACCAAACAGTAGCAATTCTCTGAAACATTTTGCAATCCGTTTATACTTTTTTTTAGAATTATGAATTTCAGAGATGTCGCGAGCTGCTGGTCAGCTGCTCAAGCGTGTTTTGATGATACCTCCACAACATTTCACCGTTGAAGTATGTAACCATTTGTGTATTGTCGTTCTTGCGCACTGAAACCAAAGTTCGTTTTTAGTATAACATCAATCCATGGATGGGAGGTGTTGTAGACAAGCAGAAGGCGATGGAACAGTGGACTGCACTGAAGAAGACCATAGAGAAAGAAGGTGTTCAGGTGAGCGACTGACTATAAACAACACCTATGCCTGATCTATTATTCTTCGCTGCAGACTACCTCGATAACTGAGTACAGTAACTTTTTTCGTTGCAGGCAGCGCTTGAAAAGCTTTTGCTGTTTTCAGAGTCAATGTCATACTCAGGATATCTGGGTTTTCTGCACGAAAATAAAAACTCTGATTAAATTTAAAAATTTGAAAGTTTTAATTCCAGCCCAAGCTCTTAGAACTTGGCCCTGTAATATTAAATTACATAAAAAACGAAGAAATCGAAACACTAAGCTAGAAAACTTTACAATTTAGATTTGAGATGAATACATGGAGTAAGGTTTCGTGATTTTTTTTGCGTTCAGAACAGCAAAAATAAAGGCATACAGGGTGTCCCAAAAAGATGTGCACACTGTTTGATTGTAAATAACTCTCTTGTAGTGAAGTGTTTCGAGAAGCTTTAGGTACCATTTTGTAGAGCTAGGTTCAACTTAGATTTACAGTGTAGAGCGAATCGCCCTTCATTCATTCTTACTGTAGGAGCACGGTAGAAACTTCAAACATATGGTGTCACTGTGAAAAAAGGGGCCGTTTCAATAATTTTCAAAAAAAATGTGGAAATTTGTGTAATAGGGTTTTTATGGACCCTGAGTTCAATACCCAACTCTTTACAAGGTTGAGAGGCTTTCTAAACGGTGTAACCGCACTTTTTAGGAGCACTTAAAAAACGTCTGCTACTGCTTACCTCGCATAATTTTTTAATGAAGCATTAGGAAGAGTTGCGAACTTCACATTTAGAATCAGCAACTCTAGTTAGCCCAGCGTGAAAGTTTTCAGTTTGTTTTGTTTTCTTTTTGGAACAAAATATGGCCTTTCATGGCTGAAAACCCTCTTAAAAGTTTCTACCGTAATCCTACAGTAAGAATGAGAGACCGGCGATCCGCTCTACACTGTAAATCTAAATTGAACCTCACTCTACAAAACGGTACCTAAAGCTTCTCGAAACACTTCACCACAAAAGAGTTATTTACAATCAAACAGTGTGCACATCTTTTTGGGACACCCTGTATAAAGTATAAAGGCAACGAACAACTCCACAATATTGAACGAGTGTTTTGTTGCTGGTAAAAAGGTTTCACATAGATGATAGTTTGTAATCTTTGAGTTCTCTTTTTCCCCGCACTGCTTCTGCTACCATTTGTTATGTTTCAGTGTTTTTTTTGCAGTAAGACCATTTTGTAAATTGAATTTTATGATAGAAATATTACATACTAGCTGTATCTGCTAATGCTGCATTTTTTGTCAGATACGCAGTTTGTAAAGCTTGGAAAATGCTCTTTAGGACAATATTCCATGGTTAAGAATAGTGCTTGCAATTGCAGCTTTTTTCTTTGCATTACGACCCGATTATCACGCATTTAGTGCTGTGACATAAATAGTGACAGTTAATGATAAGTTTTTCCAGTCATTTCGCCTACTGTAACAAAGATGTTTGGAGTTCTTAAGAAGTTTTCTTTAGCATGATCAGTAAAAATCATGTCTTTCTGCCAGTGTGCAAAAATCTCGTACTTTTTGATAATAATAAAAAAAAAGTATTTGCAGTACCTCGTTTCTTCGAGCTATCAGATAAGACAATATGAGGATAGAAAACATCTTTCTCTTGAAGGGACTTTCTTCTCCTCACTTTGCTTTTTTCCACATTGAAATTTGCGGACATGTGTTCTATACTCCTACCCTCGCCTTTGCTAGCACCATTCGTTCCTTATTTTTTTTTTGCCTTCTCAACCTCAAAAATGTATTGAATTCTTTCTAAATTATGGTTCAAAAATATTTTCTATGAAGTATAGTCATGTACAATTATATGGAGGAATTTTTTAGATCAAAGTCACCATTCTGTTCAACGTATACAACGCTAATCGTAGTTATACTTGACTGATTTGAAAACTGCAAAAAAAAACCAAATGAAAATTGCACTGAAATTCTTTGCAGCTGAGGCAACACAGTCCATTTGGTCCAACTTGCCCTATTTTATAGTAAAAGTCTGTCTGAGATTTGAGGTGGTACATGACGTATATTCCCAAATGAATATAACATTGAAATTATAAAGTGTAGTAGATTATCACTTTTTCTTCTCGATTGTGGCGGCATTACCCAGAGCAAGTGCATATTCACACAAAAACGAATAAAATGGGAAGTATTTGCTAGAGAAAGGACTGGAGTTCACATAATAGCGTGCCCTCTTTACTTTTTCATCTTTCCGGTCCACTCACTTTTCTCTTCTCATTTAACTATTGCTAAAAAACTGTGCATCCTCCTACTCCTTGTCTCACATTGAAACCCTTATTGACAAAGACATGAAATCAGGTGCTGACGACGGACCAGGTGAAGGGGTTGCCTGATCAGGTTTTCGTGTGCAATTCTGGTCTCGTGCACAATAACAGCGTCTACCTTAGCAAATTTCGCCACAAGGAGAGGTATCATCTTTGCATTCTTTTTAGATCTCAGTTTGCGTTTTTCAAAACGATCATGTTTTATGGTCCACAAATGCCACAATTGCAGATCAGGAGAGCAAGAACATTATCTAAAATGGTTCAAATCACAAGGATTCAAGATCTACGGCGACGATTATCCGGTGCATTTCGAAGGGGGAGGTGACGCAGTATTTTCCGATCCAAAAACCTTATGGGCAGGCTTCGGACCAAGATCTGATAAAGGGGTGGGTTTTTTTATGGTGTGCATACAATTCGAATAGTTTACAGTAAATCTTGCATTTCAAAGGTTGTTTCAAAGCTTTTGAACGAAGTTATCTTAGATAGCGTAGGGGCTAATTCGATTTCATTTATTTGGTCTTGAAAATAATATGCTTGAACAGTGTCCAAAATTACTTTGTGCCGGTTTTGCGCCATTGTCGTATTGGTACCGTGCCAGCAGTCAGTGATGCCGTATTAATAGAGTGCCGCTCCGGCACGGCACTGGCACCGCGGCACGGCGCTGGCTCTTTAACTCCGGGCGCTGCCTTAGAATGAATTTTGAGTGATCCCACGGTTACTGTGGTGGTAAAGCAGTCTAGCTGCTGAGTGGCTTTGGGCCCAGCTGAAATATTGACGGATTTTTTCTCTTTTACTTAATTCCATTAAATGGCCCTGAAGAATGGAAGCGGGTGAAATTAGCCCTGCAAGTTTGTTCGCGTGCCAAAAAAAGTGTGCTATGAGAAGCACCCTAAAAAACTTCATGCGTGGCTAAAGCCCACACCTCCAATTGAAAAAAACTTTTTCCCCCTCCCCCTTAGATGCAAAATCCTGGGAGCGCCACTGCCGTTTACCTATAGACATAGAGTGAATAGCCCATCTTCTACCTCTTCATCATTCACCAAATGACTTTTTGCTGCAAAAAAGTACATAAAAATTTTGTCATTGAAGGGCAAGACTGCCAATACTTAGCTCTCTTCGTAAAGTTAAAATTTTACCTCGATATAATCTGTGTTTATAGCTTAGCTGAAAAAAAAAAACAAGAACTTGGAGCGGTTTTTACATCTTTCATCCATTTTTTGATTTACTGTTTGGTTTAGGTCTATGAAAAAATCAAAGCAATGGGTGATTTTGAAATTGTGATCTGTGAGCTTGCTCTACCAAACTTCTATCATCTCGACACTTGCTTCGCTCCCGTTGATGAAACCACGGCGCTGTGGTATCCGCCGGCATTCTCTGAGAATACAAAGAAAGAGGTAAGAATTACTGCTAAAAGTGCAAACATTGCTCAACAGCCAGTAAAAACTAATAATTTTGCCTCTTTCAGATTCAGCGTCGCATGCCAAATGCAATTGCGATTTCGGAAGCAGAAGCGAATGCTTTCGTGTGCAATGCGATAACGGTGCGAAAGACCGTTATCGCCCCTATTGGAGTTTCTGCAGCCACGAAAGAAGCACTTAGCAAACGAGGAATGTCGGTCGTCGAGTTGGACATGAGCGAATTTATGAAGAGCGGCGGTGCCTGCCAATGTCTAGTGCTACGATTAGATTAACGAGATTCAGATTCAAAGATTTTTTTATAAAGTTTTATAACTTCTATCGCTCTAGCGTTGAAAGAAAAATGTTTGGACTGCGTCCAGAGTTGTCCGTGCCGGCGCTGTTCCATAGCCAGAACGGTGCCGGCGAGGACGATCGATCAATACGCAGTGCATTCATTCAAGCTGCGGCAAGCTGACATGACGCTAGTATGGCGCTGGAACGGCGCGAACGAGGGCCCTCTGGATGCAGCCCTAGAAAGGAGCTAATATTGGTGTAACGTGAGTTTGTTGATTCATCGGCTACCTGCAGTTATTTGAATATCTGTACAAGTCCTCCACTTGGAAAGCAAGGATATACAAGTTATCATGCGCATATACCATCTCAGACAATTGCATCGGGAAGTTCGCGGGGCTTGCTCGACCACCAATCATCCATGCCACGAGCTGCCTGGTAAACCGCCGATATTAGACCCAATAAGTCACCCATAAGTCACCGCGGCGCATCCTGTAAGTGCCCTTAAGCGCCTGTAGTTGACCCGATTAGCCTGCTTGTAAGGCCTAGGAAGAGTGAAGAACCTTTTAACCCGTGTTTCACGGGGACGACTTGTGCACAAATTGAGCAATTTGTTAGCTCACTATCGACATCATCTAATGTCGTTGATAACATTCATCCAACTGCTGAAGTTTAGTTCGCAAGCATAAGAACCCAACTCTGTCAGATAGGACCAAATCCAAGAGGCGATACCCAGCGCCATAAACTTTTGGGGTAACCCCATCGCTGCGACGTACCTCACGCTGGTTGCGTCTTAACCTATAACGTGCAAGAAGTGCGGCCTTTGATAAGGCCCGCGGCCCGCCGAGTGAGGTGGTTCGGCCGCGACGCTTTGGCCGCGGCGTGCGTGGCTGAAGTTTTAAGGGCCGCGGCGCGCCATGCAACACGCTTTAAGGCCGCGAACTTTCCGATGCAATTGTCTGAGTATATGTCAGTTGTAGTTTGCAAATGCGTGAGGGTGCTTCGTGTTTTGGTTAATGAAGTTTGCAAGCTTTACCAACCAAAGCACGAAGCCAATTAGAATTTACTTTTGCCACGGGCAGAAAGGAGCGGCATGATAAGATCCCAGACTGGGTACATGCATACGTAAAAACTTAAATTGAGTCACTGTTAGGTTTGCGAACCTTCTGTTAAATATAGATAGGTATCTTACAAGAAAGAATACTTGGTGACCGTGGACATTTGGGATACGATGATTTCCGTTAACATGAACATCTAGAAACGCTGATTCTGAATCTGCCATCGATGTCTGCGAAACGTTCTCGGAATTTGTTTTGGGTAATTAAAATCACCGAATTTGGTCTAGTTTACCGTTTGATGCTATTAATGAAAATCTAAGACGGGGTAGTGTTGTCAAAACTATCTAAGTCATGTTCAGCACTTAAAAAAGTAGGATTTTTTTATTGATGATTTTGAGCTTTAGCCTGATTCATTCTTGAAAAAATAATCGTAATTCCGTCTAATTTATGGTTTCGCAATTATGAATCACTGTTTGCGAACCACCCACAATGGTCGGCCGCCTCAACGTGGTGTGGGGGTGACAATGGGTGTCGAACTGCGATGCACAGACGAGTGCATACTCTGGCAGGGCCTCCCAAGCTTTAGAGGAGTTCGACGTTTCCGGTTTCGGCCAGATGCCTAGCTAAGAGCCGGCTAGGCCAGATCCACCGCCGTCTAATTTTCAGGTCGCTAGGCGGTTTTGATCCGCTTCACACCCGGGTGAGCGATCACCCCGTGGAAATCAAGAGTTGGCCTAGTAAGTCTGCTCTTGTAGGGGAAAAATTTTTATTACTCGATTAGCAAAAAGAACAAAAATAAACCCTGCACATCAGATCCCGCCTACGGCGCCGGGTGGTAGCAAGAACGATGTCAGGGTACTTAGGGCGCCTTTCGGATTGGACAAAAACGACACGTCTGCCCGGACGACACGCCATGAGACTGCCTCATGCTCTGCACCTACAACGCCAGGACGGTCTCCACAAACGCCGACCTCCACGCTCTTCTCGACGCTGAAAACATCAAGTATCACACCATTGCTCTTCAGGAAACGAAGTCCAGGAAGAAGGATGTGCGACAGAAGAGTGACGGGACCCTCATCATTCGTGGTGAAAGGTTCCATCACAAAACGTTGGAGGCGTTGGCTCTGTCGTCCCCCCATCAACCGTCCATCTTGTCGATTCGCTTAAGATCCAGTCACCTCGACTAGCCATCCTACGACTACGGCCTCTACGTCAGAAGACCATCAGCATCATCAACTGCTATCCGCCAATATCTGCAGCTGACGATCCAGAACTGGATGCTTTCTACAAAGACATGGAGCAGGTCGTCCGCAACGAAAAGTCCTTCTACATGTTCGTTGTGGGCGACTTCAACGCGAAGATCGGAATGCCATTGGAAGAGGAATTAGGTTCGGGAAGTTTGGATATGGAACGAAAACGAAAACGGCAACCGTCTCGTTGGGCTTCTCTTCTCCGCACGACTTTTCCATGAGAAATTCCATCTTCATGGAGAAAGAACATCGCCGGTGGAGTTGAGAATCGCCCAACGGAACGACTCATGCGGAGATCGAGACCACATTCTCACCAACCGAAGGTGGAGCTTACTTGGTGTCTCTGTAGTTCCATCCTTCTGTAGTGGCTCCGATTACCTCCTCCTTCGAGCGAAGATACGATTCAGTCGAAAGTTGGAAAAGAAAGTCTCTCACAGTGCCGCAAGAAGGAAGAAAGTCGTTTATGAGTAAGCTGAAAGAGCTCATATCAAGTTGTGACTGGCCCATCGAGGAGGGTCCAACGTACGACTACGCCGGCTTCTGAAAGGATTGCGAGCCTGCGGAGAGTGCGCCTCAGTGGCTTCTGAAAAGAACTTGGATCATATTTTGAAGACCACCAAGGAATTGCTCGAAAGAAGAAGATTATTGAGGCAAGATCCGAATGCAGCCCATCTCGAGCGACTGATAGCCAAGGCCAGTTGCAGAACAGCTTTGCAGGAGGATCTCAGAGAGTACAGGCAAACCAAGATACTGGAAGCAGCCGAAGAAAGACGAAGCCTCAAGAAGTGCCGAAGGGGCCTTCGAGAATATCACGTACTGCTGGCTGCACTATTGAACGAAGACGGGACTCCGACTTCTTCCCTATACAAGATGGAATCTATTGCGAAGAACTTCTACACCAACCTGTTCCGCTCAACAACAACCGTGCCGATGCCCGTTGTTCCCACTGGAGAAGTACCACCACGAGTTGTACCTGCTGAAGTGCGCGCGGCGATTCAGACCACGAAGACGTCTACGGCTCCAGGACCAGATTATCTTTCGTCGATTTTCTGCGAGCCAGAGGACAGAGTCTACACGAATTTCTCGCGTCGCACCTAACATCTTGCTTTCGGAAGGAAAGGATTCCCGGCCAGTGGAGAACGTCAAGAATCGTCTTTTTTTTCAAGAAGGGTGAACGGGAGGACCTTCGGAACTACTGTCCAATCTGTTGCTGAGTGTGCTGTACAAGCTTTTTACGAAGATTATTCTCGCTCGCATATCTAGGACACAGGATGAAGCACAACCCCAAGAGCGTGCTGGATTTCGTAAAGAATTCAGCTGCATGGACCACATCCAGACGGTTTCGAGGGTCATAGAGGTCTGCCGGGAATACCGACTGCCTCTCGTTCTAACCTTTGTCGGCTACGAGAAAGCCTTTAACAGCGTCGAAACCAACGCCATCCTGTCTGCGCTAGTCGATCAAGGAGTGGACCCAGCTTACGTGAGGACGTTAGCCGACTGCTACAAGGACTGTACAACGACGATGCAGCTATTCCATCGCCCCCTGACCATACCAGTCGGGAAGGGGGTCCGACAAGGCGACACAATCTTGCCAAAGCTGTTCGACCTTGCAGTAGGTGATGAAGTCACTGAATTGGGACGCGAGAGACATATACGAGTTGATGGGAGATTCCTGCCGCACCTTCGTTTTGCGGACGACATCGTTATCTTTTCCAGCAGTATCACTGAAGAAGAGACAATGCTGAAGGAACTAAAGGAAATGGGGAGGAAAATCGGATTGCGAAAAATCGGAAGAAGATTCAGTTCATGAAGAAAGCGCTTCGCGAAAATGCAGACATGGATTTGGAGGGCACCCTTCTCATAGAGACGTCTTCTTACGTGTATCTCGGACGTTCGATGAACATGGAGAACGGCTTAAAGGAAAAAATTAACAGGAGAAGAGCAGCTTGGGCCGCCTTCGGGCCTCTGGAGGAGGCCACCGACCAACTGGTGGATCCGGAGCTTCGTGCCCATCAGTTCAACCCAACCGTTCTCCCGGCGCTTTGTTACGCAGCTGAGACTTGGGCCGACACTGCAGCCACCTCGAAAGCTTTAAGGACCACCCACACAGCGCTAGAGCACCGGGCTAGTCGTCTGAAGATGACCCGACACAAACAACATCTTGTCGGACTTCGCAGTACAAATATGAAAAGAATGTCCCGCCTTCGCGACCCAGCGGAATACGTTGCGAATGCGAAGCGTCGATGGGCCGGTCACATTATGAGAAGAACAGACGACATTTGGACAGAGCATCGGAGTGGATTCTTTGCAAAGCAAAACGTCCTCGAGGAAGACCTCCAACGAGATGGGCAGACGTGTTCATGGAACGGATGGACCAGCCGAGAAATCAGCTGGATACGATTTTTGCACCTGAAACTCGTGTACGCAGCCACCGACGTCAGCCAAGAAGATCGTGGATGTCTGAAGCGAGGGACAGGGAGAAATGGAAACTTCTGTGCTGGGGCCCGCACGTCACGTGAAGCCGGGTCATCTAAGTATCTAAGTAAGCGTTCAACAGCATTCAAAGGCGCATTTTCTGATACACAATCTTGAATGGCCACGGTCACCGAGTATCCTTTTCTTGTAAGCTCCTGGCATTCTGCACTAAAGAATGATGTTCCGCCAATGCGGAAGACTCGGAACAATTATTTGAAAATTCTCGATCTCAACGC